AACCATTATCATTTAATGTATAGTTAATCTGCATTTAACATATTTATCATTTAATTAGCGTCTGCGAAGTAAAATACTTGGTAAAGCAATCGTAAGTTTCCGTAACGCTTTGGTTTTTAAGTTTAATACTAAAACTGTTAGCTATACCTTCACTAATATTGTATCTCCGATCAAGGCTTTTGAAGTAAAAACTTCTGTAGACGCGTTTTATACTTTTTTGTGGAGAGAGAATTAGATTGAGCCGTCCGATTTCAGGTGTGTCATGATCGGGTAAGGTCGGCTGGAGTCGACTAATTGAAGTGTTTTTTGCATACTCGTCAAAATATCTAAGAAATTAAAAATCAGACCTGGATACTGTAACCAAGGGAATTGTTAATCATTGCATCCTCTCTGTAATGGGCTATTGTTCAAAATTGTCTCTTAACGCGACGCCGCGTCAGGGAGGCGAAAAGGGAAAAATAGCGTCGAAAACCAAATTATAACGAGTTTGATTGAAGATATGGATAAAAGTATCTCAGAAAATAAAAAAAATGGACCTGCATACTATAAGCGAAGTAAATGTTCAGCATTCCATCCTCTTTATAATGAGCTATCATTTATAATTTATATTTCATATTATTAATCTCACCTTGTTGATATTTTCACTTCTATTGTGTGGCCTAAAGCAAACACAACTTAGTTTTTTTATTTAGATTTATTTTTTATTTTATTTAAAAAAAAAAAAATTATAGAGTGCTACCAGTGGGTAGTTTCTCAACAAGTGGTTTCATCCTATTATATTCTTGTGTTAACGTTTACTGAATGTATTTTCATTAGTAATACATTTGTAAATATCATAAATAAAAAATAAAAAGTTTATTTTTTGTCAATCTACGGGGGAAGGGGAAGCTTCGAGGCTGAAGTTCACTTCAAAAGTAAGATTAGGTCAGTATGTTACTGTGAGTGATTTGAGCTACATATTTATATATTTAAATAAATAAAAGCTAAATGTTTAAGTACAATATGTGTACTCTTTCCAAATATAATAAATGTAATTGGAAAATTTATAATTTATAATAATAAAATAAATGTAATTGGAAAATTTATAATAATAAATTCCAAATATAACAAATGTAAAGTCTTGAAATATCCCTGAAAGCATAAGTATTCCTGTAATTACTGTTTATTTTTTAAACAGACTTTCAAGGACATAATTTTATATAGTTTCATTCTTTTTTTCCAGACTTTTTTTACCTTATCATCTTTTTTTACCTTGTCATTTTTACCTTCATACAAAGCAAAAATAATAATAAAAATATAAATTAAAAAAAAAAACCCTCTCTACCGAATAAAAATTAAATCCCAAATATGCTATTGCATACAGGTTGCCTTGGCTGACACATAGGCATCTGGGACCAAATCGTAAGTGGCTAGCCTTAACATCGGTCCCATTACCTTAGATGCCAAGGCTGAATCTAAATCAAAGATTAAGCAGACTATAGTGAGATCTAAATTAAGAAAACCTAAATAACTACAATTATTTAAGATTAGCTTTTTGTCTAGGATGTAACAAAAAACATAATAATTTATTAGGTTGTTTGTATATTGTGAACACTGATCTTCCACTATTTCATCGGATCATCTTGTTTTGTTGGGGAATATTTCTCATCTGAATGTTTTGGTGGAGGTAAGTTACAAATAATTTTTTTTTTCTCTTATACAAGAAAAGACGAATTAAGAATTGTTTCACAACAATCAGTTACTAATTAGTTTTTATCTTGTCCAATTATCGCAATAATTCTTCCAAAATAAGTTTTATAATGACTACCATCCACCTAAAATAGTTTATAATTCATTTCACGATAACGTTTGAAATTATATTTAAATTGCAAATAAATTTAATATAAAATAACAAGGAGAATTTTCAGCATTGTTTACTAAAACAACCTAAATTTAACTTTAAATCTAATTTATATTTTAATTCTTATTGTTGTTTAAAACACAATTTTTATTAGATTTATTAATCTCGATTTGATTTTTTTTATCTTGACACCCTTTATGCTCATACCAAACAGGTTTAATTAGGCCATTTTCAAGGAGAACCTTAAAATAATTAAAGATAATTCGGACTAATTTGCCTTTTTTGCTTCATCTTTATATATTATTTCTCAAAGAATTTTTTTTGTCTGTACGCCATGTTTCATCGGATACAATGATTGAGTCCTCATTTCGATGAATTTCTTCTCCATCAGGTGAGAAAAATAGTCAACGAAATTTCAAGGAAAAAAGTTATAAAGGAAAATAAAACGTACTTGTGAGTAAATCATGTATTTTATTGTTCATTATTTGAAAGGTTACTAAATTTCTTACAAAACAAAATGAAAATAGTCGAAGTCAGACTATTATTAGCAAAGATATAGATTATTGTAATTCGTAAACATATTGGTATTAAACATGGATGCAGTGTTACAATAATTTTCTTTTCCAAGATTTTTAACAACTCTTGAAAAAATAAGAATTGATTTATATGATATAATTCATTATTTTATTTCCTTATTATTTTGTCATTTGTACTCTGATCAAAATATTCTGTGTATTACTTGCGTGGGCCAACTATTTTACTATTTAGTACACACCTCCTTCAAAAGGTTGTGCTTAATCGGTCAGTGTAAAACTAATTTATATGGAATTACTTAAAGATCTTTTATAAATTTATAACTATTATTTTACATTTTCCCTTTTGTCTTTTACTTCTTGTTTTTTTTTTAAATTTTTCATATCTAAATTTAACTAAAGAAAGCAACAATGTAAACAATAAGAATTATTTCACATATAATTTTCTCACAATTAAAAGTTAATTGATTATCTCATGTTTCATCAAGACCGGATAAACATAAACTTACGAAGGAGGTTCATATTAAATAGTTAATGAAACAAAAAATGACTTGAGTAAATTAACTCGTATAGTTTTTAATCATAATTAAAAATGTCCTTGAAAATGGCCTGAGAGGATGAAAATAACGTTAAAAAAAATCTAATTAAACTTATTGCTGATTTAAATACAATTTATAAAAAATAAAATAAAAAAGTTTTAGGATTTTTGCAAACGAATACATTGATTAAAACTTTGATTGTGTGTAATACGTACTTTTCCAAATTAAACTGAATGATTATTCTATTTTTAAAATTATAATATTACGCTAATTACTGTATAATTCAAATTTTGATACAGTTACAAAAACAAAAACCAATCAAATAATAATTGGATATAACAGTTTGAAAATGAACGTATCAAATACAATGATCGTTTTAGATTGAGTTTGATGCGTAATTTTTTTTATATTAGAACATTAATATGAAAATAGAAAAATCAACTTTATTCTGGGACAAAGTCCCTTAAAAATAACAACAATGTTCATACAAATTAACATTAAATTTGGACAAAAGAGCTATTATAATAAAAGCATAATTAAAACATTAGTAATAAAACGAGTATATAGATAGTTATAAAAATATATTAAAGAAAGCAAATGATAAATAGGGTCACAATAATACAATATAGTTGAGCACAAAATAGAAATTAAAAATAAATAAATAAACTTGGAAAGAAAACTTGAATTAATTTTATTATTATTTAAAAAAAAATAAATTAAATGATTTATATCTGATACTTAAAAGGTTTAAATGAATATTCACATTTTTTAAAAACTCATTATTCCTAAGGATTATCTGATTTATTATTTTTTTTTTTTTAAGGTCTTTATTTTGAAATTATAATATTCTGTTTATTATCATAATTTTCAAATTTTAATATAACGTTTTTCTAAAAGTTCCTTATCTTTTTATTTTTACACCACACTAATATGTTGTATTACTACAATTTTCTCTTATATTCTTACTCATAAAACTGGTATCTATTTTTGGTATTATTATATTCCACTTGTTGCTTTCACTTGGCTTATTTATTCTGTTCTTTATTTTTTAAAAAGTTATTGATATAAATCAACGAATCAAATTAATTTTTATTCTATATTTTCTTCATTTTTATTTTTTATTTATACTTAAACTGTAATTTAACTGTCTACTTTAGTTCTTGCGTTTTTAACAGTATATAATTCAATTTATTTTATATTCATTTTATAAACGATATTATAAAAGCTTTACAAAATTATTTGTAAAATCCGGTAATCGGAGATTTACGACATTAACTCGGATGTGGCATTCCATTATATCTTATCCATAAATTTGGTATTCGGGTAATTAACTGACTAATAAGGCTTGTATTTCCTAATATGTTGTAGTTAAAAATTCATTAAAAAAATATGGCTTAGAGCGATGAACAATTAATTTCAGCGATGATGGAATAATAAAAGAAAAATGGATAAATTGTTATTTTATTTAATTGAACATATAAATAAAATGGTCAATGTAACTGAAATTTATAAAAAATAAGAATTATGTTTTGTATTAAATCATTAATATACCGATTAATGTTGTTTTCATATAAACCTATTCATTGAGTTACAAAAACAGGCTTAAAACTTTATTATAAAGTGGATAATAACATTTAGTGGTGGAAAGCGTTTTTGAGACTTACCTAAGTGGTATAGTTATGTTTAACATGAAGGGAATTGATATATTAATTCTTATAATTTAATTCTTTATACTAGAAAAATACTTCATCATCATATATATATATATATATATATATATATATATATACATATATACATTCTAATGGATATATTAATTCTTATAATTTAATTCTTTATACTAGAAAAATACTTCATCATATATATATATATATATAAATGATAAAGTTTATAATTTTTAACAGGGTACTTATATCTTTCATATGTTTTTTATTGATAAGGTGGATCATTGAACTGGTATTTTTATCCCTTTAAGGCAACTAAAAGAAAAATTATGAATTATAAATTACGTAAATGGATGAAGTAGTAAATTTTCCTCAAAGGAGCGAAACCAATAAGCGGACACCCACATTCTTCGCCAATAATGCTTCATAATTTTTTCTCAAACCCGCTATAGGTCATGTAGTCGTTACGTGTTATTATGTAAAATTCTGAAACAGCGATGTCATTCTCATTTTCTTGTAATGCTTATAATGTTTTTTCCTACGTTTTAGAATTTTATAAAATATAAGTATCATAGAGGATTGATTGGGATGTTAAGCAAGAGAAATAAAACTGAGATTATCTGAAAAGAAAAACAGTAAAATTAAAATTAGTAATGAAACATAAATAAAATATAGTCAGGCTAAATGTGAAAAGTTTTGATTCAAGTGTTATTTTATCCGAACAATTAATTGCGTGAATTGCACACTGCTTAGCTTGCACAGCCAACACAACTTTAAATATTTGTGGTAGTGTTGCCCAAATGCGTGACCAAGAGGAGTCTTGGTCTTGCAAACTCAGTCTTGGTCATGGTCTTGGTCTTGCGCAAGACTCTCGCAACAGTCTTGCAGTTACTTATTAGCTTATCATTAGAGATATTACTGTAATTCTTTAGATAGGAGAAACCTAACTAAGCCCGAATGAATGATTAGAGGAGTTAAATGCAAAAGTATATTGGTTATACCAATTATTAACATATAGTAACTAAAATTGTCGAGTATTAGTAATTATTTTGCCATAATTTATATTAAAAAATCTATTTTTTCACCAGTCCCCTTGTCTTGGTCTTGCAACAGTAAGGCGGCCTTGGTCTTGGTCTTGCAAAGTGCAAGACTAAGACCGATTTTGGGCAACACTAATTTGTGGATACCCATTTCTCTCGAAATTCGCCAAAACATTTAGGCAGATATGCCAATGCACCCCCTTAGAATGAATAAGAATATTTCTGTGTTGAGTTATTTTAAATGTAATTTTTTTTCTATTGATTTCAACTATACAGCGTATCACTTGCAAGTATTGCCTATTATTTTTAAAAAAAATACATCTCAACATGATGAAAATTAATTTATTTTCTCTGGAAGGTTAGGATTAGACAGTTGAAGCAGTTTCATATTTAGAACGGTGATACATGTGCATATTTGAAGGATCCATTGAAATTGAGTATAATATATTTTTTATCGAACTACTCAACGTATCCTGGAACAATATTGTACCCCAACGACAAATCTTCTAGGTTAAGAGATAAGCTGAATGCCTAACTTATAAATAGAAAAGAAAATCTACTAGTGAGGAGAAAAACAATATAATTAAAGGCAGTTGGATCCCCCGGAGAAGTTCATTGCAAAAAAAGTTATATTAAAGAAATCAGATGATCAATAGGGTCAGAATACTGCAATATAGTTGAGCACAAAATAAAAATTAAAAATAAATAAATAAAATTGGAAAGAAACCTTGAATTAATGTTATGAGCAAACCACCATTGTAGTGATAAAAAAATAAATAAAATAAATGGTTTATATCTGTTACTCAAGAGGTTTAAATGATTATTAACATTTTTTAAAACTACTTATTCATAAGGATTATTCGATTTATTTTTTTAAGGTCTGTATTTTAATATTATAATATTCTGTTTATTATTATAATTTTCAAATTTTAATATAACATTTTTCTAAAAGTTCCTCATCTTTTTATTTTACACCACACTATCTATGTTGTATTATTACAATTTTCTCATAATCTTACTAGCATCTATTTTTGGAATATTATTATATTTCACTTGTTGCTTTGATTTGGTTTACTTATTTCGTTCTTTATTTTTTAAAAAGTTATTGATTCATTAACGAATTGAATTAATTTTTAATTCATATATAAGGGGGATCGCTGTTTTCCAGATGTTTCCAGATGTTTTCCATTTCGAAAAGTGGCTTTTATTTCATTTTAAGAAAATTATAAAACTATCAAACGGCGGTTTCCAGCAAACGAGGAAAGAGTTTTTCGGTGGCGGTAACAAGAAAGTGGTTGTAGGACTGCAAGAATTATTTACGATATATTATCATTTTCATAATGGTTTTTCTCAGTATATCTCAGTAGCTCGAGTTTCATGATTTATTTTTACACTTAAAGTACTTCGATTTCATATATAACACTAACTAAACCGTATAGCTGATTATGGGCTTCCTATGAAATTTAGATATATTCCGTTATTTTGGAAGTTTACAGATCAATAGACGAAACATAATTTTGCTTGTTACGGTACAAGATCATCCGAACTTTGCTAGACCAAAATATATAGATCGTGGTGATACACTAATGTCGGATCGAGTGCAAGGAGATAGGATCATAACACTTACTCGGTAGGGACACACTGGTGGGACCACCTTTCTCTCCGTGACAGCTCGATATATTCATTTAGTTGTTTTATGTGTTATTGCAAGATTTTAAATTCGTTGTTCTACATACTCATTCGTTTTTCCATACGCTTTCTTCGATCGAACTTACTACATCTTCCGATAAGACATTGAGAACTTTTGATATTTTTTTTTCATATTATCAAAGATAGATAAAACTCAGATGTTAATGGGTTTGTAGAAAAAGAAATCTAGCAGAGATTGTAAGCTGGATTCGTAATTAGAGAATGGCTGAACAGTGACAATTTGCGGGCTTATTGTAAACGGCGAGGTTGAACCCTTGAAGTGGAATTAATAAAAAAAAAAAAAAACGCTGTAATTATTACACAATGGATTATTATTTCCAAACAGTTATATATCATATGTAACTGTACTCTCCTTGTCACATAGAGGAAAATAAATAAAAGGTGATACCAATTATAGGCCTGAATATATATTTTTTCCATCATTAGTAATTTGCTGAGATGTATAGAAAACAGTCTTAGTTGCTTCAGATGAAGTAAGACTTATAAAAATAAAAACGGAGGATATCAGATATTCAGCAGAACGTGCAGGTAATATTTGGATCAATATACTTTTGCACCAAAACGTACGATTTGAACTATTCTTTTCTTTTTTTTTGGCAATTTCGTAATTATTTAAATGATTATTAACAACCACTTAAAAGTGTTTACTTTTTTAGTTTTACGAAAATATAATGTTATCACCCCTCGTAACTTTTTTCCAATCTATCTTTACGGTGAAGTTTGTTATAGATAAATACATTTAAAGAGCTGCGATGGAGGATACTCTAATCAAGTTTCATCGAAATCGTTTCATTAATTTATAGTTTGTAGTATGGACCCATTTTTATCAAATATTATCAAAAATTAACATCCGGCTGAACTTGGTAAATAGCTTCATCACATTGCAACCTACAAATATTTTATTTACGAAAATTCTAGGAATTGGGGCGTTTTCAATGTAGAGGTTGGCAAACTTTTTCTATTTAATTAATTACTAAAAACTCGTAAATACCCATTTGCTTTCCACTTGGATCGCAAGATAATTTGATCAGAAAACCGATAAAGGTGGCCTAAAAAAATATTGGGCCATTTGGCTTCTATAACCTCGTTATTTTGACAATTTTGGGGTGTAGATCACGCCGAACGGCTCAATATTTTTGAAGATCACCTTTTTCTCGAGTTTGGGCTCAAGTTATCTTACGAATCAAGTGGAAAACAAATGGATATTTACGAGTTTTCAACTAATTCACTAGACAAAGTTTGCCGACCTCCAGATTGAAAACGCCCCAATCTCGAGAATTTTCGTAAATAAAATATTTGTAGGTTACGATGAGATGAATCTATACGGAGTTTCAACCGAATGTTAGTAATTTGATAAAAAGAGGTCTGTACCATGTACTATTAGGCACTACAGTCTAGAGGAACTAGAGGAACAAAAAAGGCTTTTCGGCCGCAATCTTGAAAAGAAAAGGCGAATGGAAATCCTGAGTTCCGAGGATCATCATCGGGTGCCCATTGACATTGGTACCGAATCTCAAATCAGTCGGTCCTGTCGTTTCTGAGAAAAGCCGCAGACGGCAGACAGGAGTATTTTTTTCAGATTCTACGTAAATTGAAACGTAAAAGCTCAAATTTTGAGGATGTTAGTTTTTTTTCCTTGGTCGATTACAAAGGTTTATTATTGAAAAATATAAACCAAAATGCTGCATCTACATCTCCCTCCGCATTTCTGGTGATTTATTGTGTCTTTTAAGAAAAACATTGGTTTTTTTTTTATTGATCGTTTATCTTCAACTTTTGAACTCTTCGATGTATCGGATCTCAAATTGTCGTTGAAAGAATGCTCTACTAAGAAGTTTTTAATAACTGTCACCGCAGTGATATCTGTTTTCTTGATATTTAGAAACAAACATTGTTCGGGCAAAAAGACGTAGATTTTAAATTTGTCTGCAGGTGCGGCGCTCATCACAACCTCAGCAGACAATTCTTATTTATCATCTGGGCGGTGTACAGTTTCATGTTGACTTAAACAAACTATCCTCCAATTATGCAATTTTTATGCATTTGGGATTTTCGGGCATCCAATTTTGAAACACCCCACTGGCTGACTAGTGCGAATTGAATGGTGATGAAGGGCATTATAACGGCATATGACTAAAAGTTTTCTTCAAATAAACCAAACAAATTTCTACCCGGCTCTTGGACTAGAAGACCACTCGGTGTGGCAACAACTTGTTTTAAGCAATATTTCCTTTTATCTCTGGGGCGTAGTTAGTTATGGAAAGCGAGCATTTGTTTTCACTTCTGGTTATGAGGTTACCGTAGGTTACAAAGTGTTAATGCAACCTTTTAGTTACGGTTTCCTCATCAGTTATGAAGGATATTAAATGTGCACAACAGAAACTCGAAAATAACAGGTTTCTTAAAGATGAAGTTAATTGGAAGTCATTTAAATTTTAATTTTAATTTTTTTTTTAAAATGAACTCTATAAGAATAATAATAGGTGTATATTGTACATATATGCGAATAAATATGTGTATAAAATGCCCCTAATTGGCACTAATGATAAAAAAACTTACATGTGAAGAAGCGTGAGCTGATAGTACAAAAGAAGTTGAATAGTTGCATTTTTGTGTTTACTGCAATATACTTTATTCTAAAAAAAATAGTTAATTAGTTAATATACAATGGAGATTGAGAGAGAGAGAGGGCATTCCAGCCACATACACACGTATTTAGTTAAACATATGGTTATTGCGTTTTAATCAATTTGTATTAATATACAAAAGTTCGCGGGGACTCCATTTCAAAGTTCGATGTGGATTTTCGAGATGGTTGGAGCTAGATAGGAATTTTAGGCATTGACAATGTTAATTATCTTTGTTTTTATTTTAATAATTAATTAATTATAAATTTTAAAAAATTAATAAATCCTTTTACATATTTAAATTATTTGTATATTTGTTTAATTCCGTACATAAAGTTTTGTTATATATTATTTACTTTATTATGCAGTACAACATACAGAGTGACCAAAATTGACAATATATATAAAAGTTATAATTTTGCCTTGATTTTCCACAATCTGGACATTTTTCTACAGGCTTGATCATAAATAGACCTTTACATTGAAGTAATTAACAATAAATTAAGATGAGAAGATAAAGCAATTTACTGTCTCCATTGATGCCGTGGTCTTTGACCCAGATCAAAAGTAGTCTCTAGATAATATTTCTATGGATCAATGAAGATTTCACATCCTTATTAAGCTCGATAATGCTTGATTAATCTGTCTTAAATGTTAACACGGGAAAGCTAATTCAGTGGCATGCATGGTTAATGAATGTTAAATGAAGGTCCAACGGTTTATTTTTATACGCTGAAGTTATAAAATATAATATATACATATTCGCCCCTGACACATAACTTTTTTATGAATTATTTATGAAACGTTGCTAATAATAATTTTGATTGTCTATCTACTTCCCTTTTGAAATATTGTACAGTGGGACGAAATGCTCGATGCCCTGGATATGGATGAATAATTAATTAACAGGTGTATATTAGATTAGTACTTGACTAAAATAAAAAAACCACGTAAATACTTGAGATGTCATTTCATTTTAAAATCTTATCTAACCTATTTAATTCTTTCCAAGTTAAAATAATGTTGCGAAGTCTTGTAAGTCGCCGATCCTCAATCAGCCCCCTCACTCTGGACTACTCCACTTTACGACAGAATGGAGTTTTTCTTCCTGGTTCATTAAACCTCGTACATTTCTTATTTTGAAATTTGCATCGTTGTCGAAAACCGGTATAATTTTCATAAAATCATCGTGTAGCGTATCAAAGGGTTGCAATGAAAGGTTTCGGAAAGTGTAAGCACTTGGCAAAAAGTATTTGGCACCCAGAATGTTTATTAAAACAAATGCAAACGGTCGAATTCAGTCAAAAACTGTTTTGGAATGGATATAAAATAAAATTAGATATAAATATAAAATTATTTTTATAAATGAAACAAAAACTATTTTTTTTTTTAAATAATTAATAATATATTTTTTTAAATGAAATCCTAACTATGAAACTATGAAACCCTACATAGTGGGGTAGCTCAGTGGTAGGGCACTGAGCTTCGAATGCTAAGGCCCATGTTCGAACCCCGGCTCATGGCAGAAAATTTATTTATCTGTTTCATTCGCTGGTTGGGAGTCCCTCCGGGGGCACACCCAGCCTCTATGAAGTGGGTACCCATAATTAAATAATTAATTAAGGGAGGAAACCTGAGTGTGATCTCGGTCAAATCACCTCCTTGCACAACCGTTGACCTAGAAACAGTACTTTCCCTAAATAGTACTGAACCCCAGACCCTTCATGGGTTGTAGTGGTGCAGGTTTTAAATGAAATAGGCATCTATAACGATGTTAATTTATTTTCTCGGTAAATTTACTTTGTTAATTCTTTAGATATCGTAGCAGTGAAAAGTTGATTTTCGTTGTACTCTGATCTGCGAACAGTAAGCTCAAAGAAATTGGAACCCAACAACTCGATGAAGCGGTTCCACCGCACACAATGGTCGAGTCGACGACGCCTGGCTGTTCCACTGCCAAAATGGTCATATCGAACCCAACGCAACTGCTAATAAGGACAACAAGTGGAAACTCGTCGTATCCAGAAAAAGCTCGATGAATAACGAAAGGTATCAAGAAAATAAAAAAAAGTTAAGCGAAGTAGCTATTGTTACAACAGTTATCAAGTCTTATCAAACATTCGTTTGGGTATGAAGGTTCCACTAAACAACCTACTATTTTAAAACCTCCATCTATCCACTTAAATGATGTTCAGAATTACCAGAGTTGTACTAAAAAAACTCGCATCATGCTACTCCTATTTTGAAACTATTAAAAGATGAGCTAAAAAGTATGGGCTACGAGGCCACGAGTGTTGTGAACGCTATTTTAGGTTTTTTTAAAACATCACTCCCTATGTTTTTTCTCG